GTCTTCAGTGTTCCTGTTGATCTGCAGGTGTAAAAAGTGATATTTCATTCAGTTTGGATGGAGAAGTACATGGATTTGTTGACTAACCGACAGACACACTAGTTAGCAGTAAATGCTTTGTTCCCCAGCCTAGTCAGTAGATCTTGCATGTACAGAAGGCACTAACACTTCAGTGCCTAATAGCTAATCAAGGTGTTGTTTATTGTGCTGAACATGGAAATGCCTGCAAAACATACAGACTCTGCTCAGGACTGCATTTCAGATCTGATTAAACAGAAGCTAGCCTAAGCTAAATCCTTTGTTGTTCAGGAAATGGAAGGAAGGTAAACATAAAATAGTAATCAAGTAGCATTTTTTTCTAATTTTTCCCTTCTTTGTAAAGGGAAAGGGGTCTGACCTCCTTTTTCCAAGGTCTTGCTCCATTTATAGTTTATCAAATGTGTTGAAGAAACAAAGTGTGCTTAGACAAGTGCAGTCCTTGGAGGATTCCAGTCTTGCTAGTTGGTTAGCTGACCTTGAGTCACCACTGGCTTAAGACCTGGAAACAATATTTAAGTTGTCCAATATAAACTAGTGTTTTATTTTCCCTTGTAACTAATCTCTAAACTGATATACAAACCCAAGAACTTTTAGCCTTTAAGGACTTGATTAGGATTCCTCATGCATAAGGGTCACCTCAGGATATCAGTATTGATACTCCTGGATGCTGGGATTTAGTACAGTGCCATAAAAAAAGTATTTTTGCCACTGGATGTTTTCGGTTCTTCAATCAAAATTTAATTTTAGGTAAAGGGAACCCGAGTGAACAAATAACACTTTTTACTTATTTCATTTATTTAATGAACAAAGTTATCCAACACCAACTGGCAATGTGTGGAGAAAGTAATTAAATCAACCCAATTAAAGGGATAATTTAGAGTCAGCTGATTAAACAGAGCCAGGGTTGATTACAGCCAGCCCTGCTCAGTATAAACCTCATTTATTTTGACACTTACCATCAGAGTCAAGTTGCCAGCACAAAGATTCAACAAGCACATTAGGCCACGATCAAAGGAAATTCCTGAAGAGAAAGCAAAACCATTTCTAAGGCTCTGGGACTCCACTGAACCACAGCGAGAGGCATCATCTCCAAATGGAGAACACTGGGAACAGTAGTGAGTCTTGCCAGGAGTGTCCGACCTGCCAACGTTTCTCCAAGGGCGCATATGGGTGTTGGATAACTTTGTTTATTATGATTATTTCATTTCTTTAATAAAGTGTTATTTGTTCACTCTGGTTCCCTTTATCTAAGCTTAGATTTTGTCTAAAGATCTGAAAACATCCAGTGTGACAAATATGCAAAATAGAGGAAATAGTTTTTCACGGCACTGTATATGCCTAATTGCTAAGATATTTTCCCCAGAATTTCTTAATCTTGTTAATAAGTTTTGGAATTAGAGATTTGATAATAATAATAAACTTTATTTTATATAGCGCCTTTAAAGGTGGCTTCTCAAAGCTTTTTTTATTTATTTATTTTGGGGGGGGGGTGCTGGTGGGGTCCTGAGAGGTGGATTGTAATTAATTGATGTGAAATCTGTTTTGTAAAATGTTTCTTACCAAGTCAAAAAGACAGATGAATCTGAATTTCAAAAAGTGAAATTCTGACTTTTCTGGTGTTGCAAAGAAGGATCTTCCTTCATTTTTATCTAACTAATATAATTGAAAGGTTGATTTGAAACTAAGGATGTACCCATCCTAACAGAATGATGTCTCTTCAAAATTAAAAAAATTGCTTCATCAGCATACTGTCCATGTGACTGGTAGAAATATTACTTCCTGTGAGTAATCATGCTTACTCATTTCAGTAATTTACAGCGCAAAATGCAGTGGTTAAATACTGGCATATATGTTGATAGATTTGGAAAGAAATACAATTCAAATTGCACTGTAAGATGGTTAAATCATAACAGAAAGCAGTAGCTTTGCATGGAAAATCCAAACTAATCTCTGTGGACTTACACAATTCAGTTTTTTTCCTAGAATTCCAGTCCAACAGTTAACATTGTAGGTGGCTTTGCAAATTCAGTGCATAAATGTCTAATTTTGCCATTTGCATTTGTAGATGAATAATGCAGTTTTAGTTCTTTTGAACCACTGTGAGCATTTTTGTGCTACAGTAGAGTAACTTTTAAATTTGCTCAACCCACTTCCACCTTCATATACTTGAATAAATAAATGCTTCAGTAACAATGGAACATCAAGGCCTGTGACTTAAAATCATTTCACATGCAGAGAAGAGGTAATGATTTTCTGGCTTATCAGGTTTGTGAAATTTTTCCACTTTTGCCTTATATTCGTGCAGCCAGGGATGTGTTTTTTAAAAAAAAAAAAGACCCATAAACAATCCAAAAGAACTGATAAATTTGAAATTGCAAACAAAGCATCACGCTGAGCATATTTAATTTCACCATTGATATTCACACTACTTACAGTATAAGCATGGGCACGGGAGTTAACTTCAGTGAGATACCCACACTGTAGGTCTAATTGCACCACTAAGTGTGACAGATTGGCTTGTGATACCATTTTAAAGCTACCCTGATTAACATTTTTATGTAGCTCCTAGGAAATCTGGGAGCTAATTAATAGCAGCTCTCCATATGGTTTGAAGGTCACCTCAGGAATTAGAGTTAATAATTAAAGCAGAAACACAGTATATCGGGTAAAAAGGTCACTGAATTCCTAATTATTATTGACTCAGTTTAATAGTCGCCTGGAAAGTAGGGTGGCTGGCGGGATCAAAGTGGGTTTAAAAATTCTGCTACAACTGCCAATAATAATTGATCTTTGAGTAGGGAAATGTAGTCCAGTTCATGAATACAGATTGAGTGACAGTTTAATCTAGCTGTTCACACCATTCTCGGCCTCCCTGATGGGTTTATTAAAATGTCTGTCCGATAGGGAATCGATCCTGAAGGGATAGGTTTCGGCCACATCGTAAAAGCTTCAGCATGGGGCAAGAAATGTGGAAAGGAAACGGTATTTAATCCCGCAAAGTGTTTTTTTGTAAATAAAGGCAAAGCATTTGAAATCTGTCCTTTGTAGGTTGCCACCTGTATCACTCGGCTAAATACATTCATCTGACCATAACTACTAGTTAAATAGACTTTACCGTGTAGGAGTATAGTTGAAAGGGAGAGCTAACTGGCCTTATTCAAGCTGAAGGCATAGAGATGGTCACTATGTGGGGAAGTCAAGACCTATGTAACTTACAGGTTGTCTGGCAGTGTATGTATTTATCTTACAGCCAGGTTAACAGGTGTTGCAGTCCCCTCATGCTCTGTGAAAAAACCAGATGCAGCTGCTGAAAAATCAATTGTAATCTAGGAACAATCCCTTAAATAATATCCTGTATCTAGGACTCTGTTCTTGTTACTGTTAATTATGCTTCAGTGGGGGTAGTTAACAGTGACCAGACTGGCCTTAGAGGAGGACATACTTTGTGTTGCACACAAGCACCTATTTTAGAATTAGTAAGTGACTGTTAGAAGTGTAGCATTTTTTTTTTAAGATCCGCAAATATTAGTTGCATCTGCCCCGCACTGAAATGTTTTAACACATGATCCTTTGCTTTTGACTAGAATCTAATCTAACATTGATGGGGAAAAAATAATCTCTCTTACCTTTTTTTACCTTTTGTGCAGTTGTATGTCAGTAAATTGGCATATGAACTTTTATATGGAATTTGGAAGCAAGCAAGCTCTGCTTCAAGCAGTCACTCATCCAGGTTCATACTAGAAAAAACAATCCCTTATCATTTTCCCAACGGCACATTTGGAGTAATGAATCCTTTCTGCAGTCATTTTTACTGCACCAGGAAGAAATACATCCTACATTAACTGCAATCATTCCTAGCAGTTATAGTATTAAGAAGAGATTTCTGGATCACTTAACAGTAAGCTTTGCAAAAAAATAGTTATACAAATACAATGATTGGTAATGCTTCCAAGGACCAAGTGATATGCAACCAGATGTTAATGGGGCATTCAACTGCCTTGTCGAGTAACTAAAGTATTGTGTGAAGACACAGTGGTCCTAATACAGAGCCCTGTAGGTACTCTATTAATTGCATCATCCCAATTTGAAAATTTGCTGCTTATCTGTGCTCTTGCCCTTCATTAACCAGTTCTCTTTAATGAGGAATGAATAAATGAGATATGCTCTTTGTATCTGTTTCTGCTGTTGATATTCAGATAAATTAGGTAACTGAATCTTATCTTTTCTAATCTCATGTTGATTATCACCAAGAATTCGGTTGTACAGAGATGGTCCTTTAGTTCTGATTATATGGACTTACATGTAATAGAAGTAATACTGATGGATAATGCTTTGGTCTGGTTTTGTCATCCTTTTTATGTGTGTGCACTGTGTTAGCAGTTTTCCAGTGAGTGGCTTTTATGCAGTTCTTCACTGATTGTTGGAGGAGTTTTGTTAATGGTCTGTACAGGACCGAATCTCTTGTGTTCTTAAGTAGCTTGTTGGAATAATTACTTGGTGGTGCCTGACCAAGTACATGTGTTGGAGCCACTCTTTACATTTCTTGAAAACATGTTTTGTATAGATTCATGCAATATCTATAAATGGAAACTATCTGAACAGTGATAATACATGAAAAAACTAACCATTGTGAATTGCACCAAAAGATGTTCTCAGTGGATTTAGGTTTCACGTCTGGGCATGACTCCAGCGCCCTTTGAGAAGGTGATGCTTGACTACTGTAACTGACATGAAAGCCTATTTCATCCAGCGCTTTAGATCCAAATAGTCTGCTTCAGATATTTTTTACCTGTCAGAAGTTCAGTTTTTATTTATTTTGTAATAAGGGTATTTTTCCCTAATTATTTGTATTTTTGACTTTCGGTCAAGGTTTAAATGGACTGAAATTGTTGGCAAATCACACATGATGCAAAGCCGACCCACGAACTGCATGTGAATCTAACAATATGATCTTTTTATAGGTGTTGAAGGCTGAAATAGAAAAAATTGTGCCACTGGTTGAAGCCTTAAACCTGGACAACAAATGCACTCCAGGACTTACTGGTAAATTACTGCTACAGCAAGAAAAAACACTGCTTGCCCAGCTCACAGAAGGAGCAGCAAATATTCAGGTGAGAGGACATTGACTTTACCTGCTTCTTACAGCATTTACACTTTTACCTTTTGGTGTGCCCCTCTTATATAGGGAATAAAAAAAGAGAGGATAATTAGTAGCTTCTGAAACATAAACAAGGCAGGAAACAGACGTCCTGCCCATTAGCAGAGTGTAGGTAAATTGGTTAACACATCAGCAAGCTGAACCACCTTGCAGAAAAGTGCAGAGAAATTTCAGAAATTAGAAGTCCTGCTACCGGAAATAATACAACATGAGCAAACTCCTCTGTCATCAAGTGCAATAGGCAGACAACAAAACATCTGGCAGAACATCCTCGCCAGATTAAATGGCCTGGGAGTGACTGAGCCTTACATAAGTAATAAAAAAAAAAGATATGACATTTTAAGGCACTGAATGCACTGTTTTTTTTTTTTTTTAGAACCTTACTGTAATGTACTTCTAAAACACTTAAAAATTGATTTTTGTTCTGAAGTGCGAAAGTTAAAATATATCGGTAGCCTAGATGGTACAGCATGGTTTTGAGAGTATCTTAAACGTATTACTGTATTGATTGAACATCTTTACTTACTGATACCGATCTCATAACAATCTGTGAGGTACCTGCAGTTGTCTCATTTTTATGTCTTTGTTAAATAATTCTAGGCTGAATAATTATGTACCATACTACTACTTTATTAATGTATCGGTGAGTGTCAAATTATAGGTACTGCAAAAAACGAAAGATTTTAAAATAAGTCCGCTTTGGGTCTAAGACTTGTTGTTTATTTTAATACATTAAAATTGAATGACCTCTTAAATGGCAGTTTCA